AACCATCTCTCTGCTGCTGTTCCTGCCTGGGGCAGAGGGTAACCTAGGTGGGGGAAGGCATTCCCTTCCCAAACCACCAGCGTGGCCCCACCCATATTCCACCCCCTGAACACCTCGGCTGTGTCTAGACTGGCAAGGTTTTCCGCAAAATCAGATGATTTTGCGGAAAAACTTGCCAGCTGTCTGCACTGGCCGCTTGAATTTCTGCAAGAACACTGACGATCTCATGTAAGATTGTCCGTGTTCTTGCAGAAATACTGTGCTGCTCCCGTTCGGGCAAAAGCCCTCTTGCACAAATCATTTGCGCAAGAGGGCCAGTGTAGACAGCACAGTACTGTTTTGCACAAAAAAGCCCCGATGGCTAAAATGGCAATCGGGGCTTTTTTGCGCAAAACCGTGTCTAGATAGGCCACGGACGCTTTTCCGCAAAAAGTGAAACTCAAGTTGCAGTGAGGTTCAACAAGGACAAGTGCAGAGTCGTGTACCTGGAACCAGAGGTGACAGGAATAAGGGGCGGGCACTGGCCATGTGACTCTGTTTCCCCTGCCAGTGAGTGCTAACCTCAGCTCCACTAGTCCCCTGGGCCACAGCACTGGAGGGAGGAGGGTGGAGTAGAAGCCGGGAGGTGCAGGGTGGGGGGAGAGGTGTGACCTGTGGTGGAGGGGGTTGTCCCGCACTGGGGGGGGTCACATGGCCAGTGCCCCCCTTCTCCTGTCACCTCTGGTTCCTAGAGACTATTAATCTGAAGTGAGTAGCAGAGGTAACTTTCACTCTTGAACCAGTAGCCACCGGATCGGAATCCTAATTTGGTGTCACACCACATTACTAAATTCACTGTAAATAAAATAAAAGGCTACAAGCATTGACGGGGGCTTGCCTCTTTCCCACTCACCCAACAAGAAAGAGACGTGGGGTGGGGGGCGGTTGATTTCACCCTGGGGTTAATCAAAACCACCCAAGACCCACCTGCTTCGCCAGAATTTGGATGATGTGAAACCAGAGTCAGTGAAATCTGAATCAGACCCACCCCTGTGTAAACACTCTCATGCCTCCTGAATGTCCCCATCTCTCCTGCCCCCCACCCCCACCATTACCTTTCAGCTTCCTCCGGGTATCCTGGAGAAAAGCGAGGCTTTGAGAAAACAACCAGAGTCTCCATTTTGGTTCAGGAGCGGCAGGGGCCGGAGCCTGGAACGGCTTCATCTCACATCTGGAGAGAGACACAAGGGCTACGTCTGCACTGGCACCCTTTTCCGGAAATGCTTATAACGGAAAACTTTTCCGTTATAAGCATTTTCGGGAAAAGCGCGTCTACATTGGCAGGATGCTTTTCCGGAAAAGCACTTTTTCCGGAAAAGCGTCCGTGCCCAATCTAGACGTGCTTTTCTGCAAAAAAGCCCCGATCGCCATTTTCGCAATCGGGGCTTTTTTGCGGAAAAGACTACTGTGCTGTCTACACTGGCCCTTTTCCGGAACAGTTTTCTGGAAAAGGACTTTTGCCTGAACGGGAGCAGCATACTTTTTCCGGAAAAACACTGATGATTTTACATTAGATCGTCAGTGCTTTTCCAGAAATTCAAGGGGCCAGTGTAGACAGCTGGCAAGTTATTCCAGAAAAGCGGCTGATTTTCCAGAATAAGTGGCCAGTGTAGACACAGCCAGGGGGTGTTACCCACAGAGAGCCCGGCCCAAGCACCAGGGAGAAGAGACAGGGCTGGAGCGGAGTTCCCAGATTCACCCACCCTGACCGTCTGGGCCATGCAGGACTCTGGGGAATGGAGGAAAGATGAGGAGCTGTAGCAGGGAGGCCGTCCCAAGACGGCTGGAGACAAGGAGACGTGTCCTTCACCTGATGCCCAGGCCCCTTCCCAGCCTCAGGAAGCACAAGAGGGGGTGAAAAGCAGCTGCCTACCTGCTCAAAGTGCTTCTCACATCCTAGAGGGGAGAGAGAGAGAAACAGGTGCTCAGTGCCACAGGTGGGGGAACCCCCTGGTCCCACAGGGGGACTCGTGCTGTATCACAATCAGCCCCAGGCCCCTGCGTAAAACCAGTGGCGCTGGGCCGTCAGCAGGTGGACTTGAACCTGCGACCTTAGGAGCTAAAGCGGGGCTGGGAAACCTTTTCTGGGTCAGGAGCCACTGAAAATCATTCGGGGGTTGCACAAAAGCGAGAAGAAAAAAACCCCCACACTGACGTGGCCCCTGACTGGGAAGCAGAAAGATGCTCCCCGTGTTCCCCTCGCACACCAGAGCCTAGTGGATTTTGTGATCCCCCCTAGGCCTGGGGTGAGGCCCAAAATGAGGGGGTCAGTGTTTGAGAAGGGGCTGCCAGGAAGCAGACTGGGGGCGTGGGGTGGTGGTGCAGGAACAGGCTGGGGGTTGGGAGAACTGGGCAGGAGGAGGGTGCAGGAGTGAGGTAGGGATGCGGGGTCTGGGCGATGCTGGTGAGGGATCCCAGTGCTGGGAGTGGGGAGCCTTGGGGACCGGATCCAGGCAAGTCAGGGGCTGGCTCCAGCCCCTGAGACTTGGGTTTCCCGCCCCTGGGCTAAAGCCACGTGCGTCTGCAGCATGAGCTACAAGCAGCGTCACTCTCCCTTGTCGGGGTCTCAGTGCCTCTGGGTTACACCCGCATGGTGGAGCTGTCTTCCCTGAAGGCAGCACCCTGGAGCAGGGACGTAGCCACGGGTGGGCCTGTATGGCCCGTGGCCCGTCCACTTTGCATCCAGGCCCATCCCTGCCCCCCTCCAGGGCTCTTCTCACCTCCCAGCGCTTGTCCTGCTTCACCAGCCTGCCCGGCGCCCACGCAGGGTCGGGATGCTGGGGCTTATCCCTGCATCCCACCGCATTGTCCACCCACCCAAAGTCTGGCTTTTCCATTGCCCTGTAGGACTCTCAATAGCTCTCTGGCAGAGACCAAGGTCTAGGCTACGGGGGAATCTTCTCCCACTCAATTCAGGACAGAGGAAGATTTTTCTCTCCCCCAAAGAACCCAACCTTTTCCCTCTGGGCTGCACAGAGGAAGAGCTCTGTTGAGCTGAGTGATGCTCAGTGTCCCGTGACGGTGGTTTCGGGAGCTGGGACCGGGGGTATCTCTTGCACGGACTCACCTGCATGAATTCACACGCTGGCTGCTCACACTTCTCCTCCATCTCCCTGATCAGGGTGTTGAGACAGGAAACCTCCTCGGTGAGCCGGAGAACGGTTTCATCCTTTCTGGCTGTGACCTCTTGCCCCAGCTTGTCCAGCCAGGCCAGCAGGAGGCGCTCTTGTTCTCGTAGAAACCTGTGCAGTCGCTCAAACCGATCTTCGACCTTCTCCTTTTCAATTTCCACGTGTCTCTGCGAGGGACAGGGAAAGGCCACACATAGAGAGAGACTCCTGCAATATCTGACATGTTCTTCAGGGTCATTTTAAAGGTAATTTTTAGAGAAGAAAATTTGGATGTCTCATTGGACCTCTGAAAAATGAGCCACTGGAAATAACCACTCAATGCGTAGCAGCAGTCAAAAAATCAAACAGCATGTTAGGAATCATTTAAAAAGGGATGCAGAATAAGACAGAGAATATCTTGTGGCCTTTATATAAATCCATGGTATGCCCGCATCTTGAATATTGCCTGCAGACGTGATCGCCTCATATCAAAGAAGATATCTTGGCATTGGCTAAAGTTCAGAAAAGGGCAACAAAAAAGGGTGGAACGGCTGCCGTATGAGAAGAAATAAATTAAACTGGGACTTTTCAACTTGAAGAGATGATTAAGGGGGTGATATGATAAACGTCTACCCTGCAGTTATTTTTGGAAAAAGATACGCAAGTCTTTTTTCGGAAAAGCCTTTTTTGACATTTGGCCTGTCTACACAGGGCCAAATGTGGGAAAAACCTCCTCTTTCGGAAGAGGAATACAGGGCTTCCGAAAAAACGCATCCGCTTTTTTGGAAACTGATCCGAAAAAGCGGACGCATTCCCTGGACACGGCAGAGTTTTTCTGGGTTACCTCCGGTATCCCAGAAAAACTCTGTAATGTAGACATAGCCCGTGTCTGGTGTGGAGAAAGTGAATAAGGAAAAGTTATTTACTTGCTCTCCTAATACAAGAACTAGGGGTCATCAAATGAAATGAATAGGCAGCAGGTGTAAAACAAACAAAAGGAAGTTTTTCTTCACACAACACACAGTCAACCTGTGGAACTCCTTGCCGAAGGATATTGTGAAGGTCAAAGACTTTAACAGGGTTCAAAAACGAGCTAGATAAATTCACGGACGATAGGTTCATCAATAAAACGAGCTAGATAAATTCACGGAGGATAGGTTCATCAAAGGCTATTAACTAGGTTGGCACTGGCCACTGTTGGAAGACAGGATACTGGGCTAGATGGACCTTTGGTTTTACCCAGCATGGCAGTTTTCAAGTTTACCAGTCATGGTTTAATGACAGAAATTCAATTATTTAAAGACACCTTTTGTCCTCTCAGTTCCTTTAAAGCAAGAGATAATTTTTGCTTGACAAAGAGGAAATATTTAATTTCTCCCTCCTAGAGTAGGCAATATGGCCTCCGTGCTTCTGGGTCACACGAGTTACTGATATGATTGTCTTCACTGTAGTATTTGGACAAGACACAGGTTTTAGCGTGTCTGTCCCCCCAACGCCGCTGTGGGGATAGAATGCAGGAGTCCCAACAACCAGCTCTCATGATCTAACCTCAAGCCATGGCGCCTGTCCACATCTAAAAATGATTCTAGTGCCTTGCTCCCCCTGTACTGACCACTACACACCATTCCCCTCCCAACATCAGGAATGGAACCCAGGAGTACTGACTCTCAGCTAGCTGCCTGCTCTAACCACTAGACCACACTCCTCTCCCATTGCTGGGACTGGAACCCCAGGTATCCTTGCTCCCAGCCCCTAGATACTGCTCATCTCCCAGAAGTGGGAAGTTCTACGAGCCCTAGGTGACTGACAGGTAAACTGAGGCACAGAGCCACTCAAAGACTTGTCCAAAACCACACAAGGAGACTTGGGGGGGGGGGGGGGGTGAGCCGGTCAATAAACCCAGCTCTCTGAATTACAGGCTTAGTACCCTAACCACCAAATTTTCCTTCTTCTTGTCACATGGGACCCCCGTGTGAATTCGCTACAGGATACCAATGGCGGTTACCAGGAGTTCCCGGCTTTGCTCTTCCTCACATGCTATATGAGTCAGAATCTCTTCTCTCCCCTTCTCCAAATCATCCAGTTGCCTCCAGATTTGCTCCTGAAAGAATCAGATAACAGAAATGTGTGGGGCTTCTGCTCTAAGCTGAGTGCTTGGGTGGCCACTCAGGAGGGATTCTGATTAGCAGAACGTCCACCGCTGGATGTTGTGTTTCTCCTGGTGGTGCACATTCACATAGGCCTTGGTGCACACAAAATTATTCTGCACGTGGATAAAAAAACTTTGTCTCCTCCCCTTCTCTTTACCCCTATGCCTGCCTATAGGGTAGGATAAACAAGTCAGTGTCAGTGGTTCTTGTCACGTTATCGGATTCTAAAGATTACTGTTGCACCCATGGGGCGGGGGGTGTTTGCCCCAAAAGTCTATACAAAGGGGGTCATGTGAGATGTTGAATGAAAGCTTCTGTTCTACTGATTCTGGACATGCTGTTCATGTACTTGTATAATATCTGTATGTGGAGTTATAAACATGTACTCTGTGTTGATGCTGGAAAATTCTCTGTCTGAGACAGAGCAATCGGCAAAGAACATTCAGCCAGTACTTGTGCTAATTAGCAAGGCAACAATGAATTTCTAGGTGCCAATACACATCTGAGGAATGTGACTGATACTTGCAAACCAGCCAGAGCATAATGGCTGCCAGCATGTGAAATGGAGATAAGTTGCTCGACCATGTGACCTGCTCTGGCCAGGAGTATGCCAGGAGAGGTATATAAGTGCCATGTGGCACCCTCCATCTGGTCTTCAGTTCAGCTCCTGATCCCAGATGCAGCGTTGCAGGGAACAATGAGCCAGGAAGAACCGTGGACCCATCCTGACAGAGGATGTACACCCAGAGACTTTTAAGCTAGCAGTTTGTAACATCCCTGCTATGAGCCTGTATCGAGAGCTGGGTGATTCGATGCATGTAATTTATTCTCCTTAACAACCTTACTCTCATGCTTTTCTTTCTTTTAGTAATAAACCTTTAGGCTATGTCCACACTGGCAGCTTCTTGCGCAAGAACTCTTTTCTGGAAGAGTTCTTGTGCAAAAAATCTTCCACAAGAGCGCATCTACACTGGCATGTGCTTTTGCACAAGAGATGTGCTTTTGTGCAAGAGCATCCGTGCCAGTGTAGACACTCTCTTGTGCAAGAAAGTTCCGATGGCCATTTTAACCATAGGGGCTTCTTGTGCAAGAAATTCATGTTGCCTGTCTACTCTGCCCACTAGTTGAAGAGCTCTTGTGCAAGAGGGCTTATTCCTCGTGGGGAGAGGAATAACTCTTTTAGAAGAAGCCCTGTTTTACAACGCTGTTCTGTAAATTTACTTGGGCAAGAACACACGTGCTGTGTAGCTAGCAGGCAAGCTTTTGCGCAAGAACATCTGTTCTTGCACAAGAAGCTGCCAGTGTAGACAAAGCTTTAGATTTTAGATCCTAAAGGATTGGCCCAGCATGATCTTGTGGGTAAGATCCAGGGTGTAAACTGACCGGGAACTGTGGCTGGTTTCTTGGGACTGGAAAAACTGGTTCAGGGTAGGTGAGATTGGGTTCTATAACCCCTCCCCTGTGTGTTAGGCCCAGGGCTGATTGCGGCACAGAGGGAGCTGGAGTGTCCGAGGGCGGCACAGAGGGAGCTGGAGTGTCCGAGGGGTTTTGCTTGTGAGGCTTCAGGCTGGCCAGATAGGCAGCTGGAGCTCTCCGTGTGATGGGTTTGTGACCTATTTGGGAAGATCTCCAGTCTGGGGTTGTAAGGAGCCCCGAGTTTAAGCAATTCGCCTTGAACGGACACCCTCAGCAGTGCCCAGGCCCGGCCCGGTTCGTCACAGTTCCCAATCTTTTTTGCCTCTCCCAACAACAGCGGTGGGAGCGCTGTACCCCAGCCCTGGCCCCCAAAGTTGGGGCGGCCTGGCAGTGGGCCACGGCCCAGCGATTAGGAACCACTGGTCTGTGTGGCATTTTAACAAGGAGTCCTGTGGCACCTTAACAACTAACAGATTTAGCTGGGTATAAGCGTCCATGGACCAAAGCCACGGGGCTGGCTGCCTGCAGATTAAGCGGGTTTTACCCAGGAACACTGAGGCCCAGATAAATACGTTAGGCTACATTCGTAAAAGGGATGTAAATTAGACGTATCACAATTGCTAATGAAGCGGGGATTTAAATCTCCCTCGCGTCATTAGCATAAAAATGGCTGCCGCTTTTTTTCGGCGTGGAGCTTTGCCGAAAAAAAGCGCCAGTCTAGACGCTGATCTTGCGGAAAATAAAGCCTTTTCCGAAAGATCCCTTATCCCTTATTTCACAGAGGGGAAAAAAAGCGGCAGCCATGTTTATGCTAATGAAGCAGGGGAGATTTAAATCCCCGCTTCATTAGCAATTACGATACGTCTAATTTACATCCCTTTTACGAAAAACGGACGGAGTCTAGACGTAGCCTTAGTGTTTCAGGTGCCACTAGACTCCTCATTGTTTGTGCAGATACAGACTTACCCCACCCCCCGCCCCGAGCCAAAAAAAGCGGCAGCCATGTTTATGCTAATGAAGCAGGGGAGATTTAAATCCCCGCTTCATTAGCAATTACGATACGTCTAATTTACATCCCTTTTACGAAAAACGGACGGAGTCTAGACGTAGCCTTAGTGTTTCAGGTGCCACTAGACTCCTCATTGTTTGTGCAGATACAGACTTACCCCACCCCCCGCCCCGAGCCTTACA